CGTGCACTCTTTCTCCATCACGAACTTCGATGCTAACTACTTAATAAATGGTGAAGAAGGACGATTACCGAAGAGAAAGACATTTCAGACATTGTAATCAACGAAACTGACAAAAAAACCAGGAATGGGTGATGATCATCTGCTTCTGACCCCTCCCTTCCTCCTCCTTTCCTTCTTAGCATCCTTTATCATTTCGAACAGTCAATAGCTGTGTATGGAATACTTGAAAGAATGAAAAAAGAAACCGGAAGAAATTAATTAAATAAAAATTTGGTAAATTAAATCAATCCCATAAGTAACGGAATGTAAACGCTTGCGATGATGGCGACATTATCGAAACGAGAAATAGTGCTTAGTAGAAATTGACTATTCCATGTATATATCAGTGATCACTAACAACCAAAGTCCCGGAGACTTACTGGGAGTAGCCAAGATTTGGAAGTGGAAATGCCTGTCGGGAGCTCTGAGAACTGTTTGGAGAAGTGCAATAGACGAATAGCTTTGCTGAAGATTCAAGTAGTTATTGACTTAAAGTAGCCACTGTGTCACAGACATGAACAGTCAATGATTTTGCTATGACATTAATATTCTGAGATATTTTCTGAGATAACATCCCCGAGAGACAACACCCCGAATTCTGAGATAACATCCCGAAAAGAAACTTATAAAACATTGATATTAAAGTAACAGAAAACAGAATCCATCATTCAAAAAACTTAACGTTTTACACCAAACGCATTTTCCAAATTAATTCGTTAAATTTTGATCGACTTTTTCTATTCTACTTTGCATGGTATGTCAAAGAGTACATAAAATATTAAAGTATGGATAATCTGATATAATACGAATAATTACTAACATTGAAAGTAGTTCAAAAAAGTGAATCTTGGATGGATTTCTATGCAATACAGTTAATCATTCCAATTTACAATCAAAACCGGAGAATTCTTAATAACGCTAGACATTCTCTCGGCCTCAATCATCGTCTATTGATTGAAATCAGATTTAATGCAGATGTGCCAGACAATATTAGCATCCAAGAATAATTCTTATTATTAACTTACTTAATCCATCAATGACAACCATCCTAACCGTACTATACAAACTATCACTTTCTGCACATCTGAAGAAAAATGATAATCACGTCTTGCTGATCTTATAATTGAATCAGTGAAAGAATGAGATGTAACCAATAAATGTAGTATATAGCCTTAGAATTTTGATACTACTATTACTCTACTTAAAAAATCTATTCCTTTCATTTGAATTGATCCAGATGAAAATTAAGAACAGCACTAAGAATTTAACTTCACACCATTTTAAAATCATTCCTGTTAGGAGAATTTCTTGTTCAAATTGAAATTCTATTAATGTAGCACCACCTAATAGGCATAACAACTGAATTCTTCCTTCCGTTTGAAAAGATTTTGTTGAATTCCTAAATGAATTTTAACTTTCATTAAAATAATACGCTAACAACTGCTCGCTAATTCTCTCTCATCCCCGATCCTGAAATGCCTCAGTATATCACATAACATACTTCCAGATCATCTCTCTTTCTGCAAGACTGGTAGAGAGGTCGCTTATATTCGTCATGCTAATTAATCTATGCTTAAGTTGTTAATTGTTTATCAGGTGAAGCTGACTTTCATCTGCTAGGCGTACTCACATATTCGCGTGATGGACTGTTATGCCACTCGTTGGAAGCGTTCCTCCGTTCTCAGGTCATGTAATGGATCATTGCATGTACTCCAACCACTCCATTCCGGAATCCCGCTCGCTAAATGTACTTCTTTCGTTTCCTGTTGGACTTCGTGTAGGAAAACATTTGGTATTTTTGTCAAGTGAATTTTGAAATTTTTTGAAAATTTTCGAGTTCTTCAAATTGAAGTATATCAATGCTCATTATTTATAAACATTAATGAATCAGAGATTTAAAAAAAATGCTTGACTTTGGAAATTTTTTTTTTTTTTGGTAGATTGAGGTATAGAATGTTTCTATTGCAATCTGATTGCTTAGCGAATAGTTAAATTAAAGTTCAGTTTTGTAAGCTTTATGGATCTTCTTTTCAATTTTATTTACATATCTTCCTTTTATGTTTCATTTTACATATGTCAAAACTTGATGTAAACTGGTTTTTGAATATGTATGATTTCGTATTACTTCTTTTATTAAATGATAACTGCAGACCGTAATGGCTGGAGTACGTTTGGATGCTATCTCGAGAATAGCAGGAGCGAATATGCGATCGCGTTATCCAGAAATATCAGTGGGTTGTGCAGCGATGGATGCATTAATAGGAGGTGGCTTGCCACTGTCTTCACTTTACGTCGTCGATGAAAATAAAAGTCGAGCTTATGCAACTATTCTTAGTAAATATTTCAGCGCTGAAGGTTAGCTAATTTAAATTCCGATTCAGCAAGGATTGTGTGTAATTATCAAGATAATAATAGTTACATATAATTCGGTAATATCAGTACTGTTGGGATGTTAACTATCAAGATAATTCATTGTCTATCAGTACTGTTCGGATTCGTAGTATGTTTTAACAATATGACTTAACATATATTACAATGTTTCCATTTCTGACTTTTAGTTTAATCGAAATTTAATTAAGATTAAATTCTTAATAACTTGGAAGTTTTAGAAGAGTTTAAGGAGGTATAATTGTTTAGGTATATGTTGCGAGCACTCATTATTTGTTGCAAGCACAAGCCGTAATCCACAAGAATTACTAGAAGATCTGCCAGATCGAATAAATGTTGCGGCTGATGATACTTTGAAAGATAATGTAGAGAAACTCGAAGATTCAACAATGAAAATTGCATGGCGTTATTCAACTGTACCGAAAATGGATTCATCACTATCTCGTTCTCGACGTGGGATTCCACAGTATGATTTAACGAAAAAAATGGATCGCAAAAAAGTGGAGGCATGCAACATTTCCTTCTTTCCTGATAGCCTCAGATTACAAGACGGTTTATCTAGTTATAGTGATCTTTATAAACGGATACAGCAGAAACTTATAGAAGACGAGTATTCGGCTACTTCCTTGAAACCGAAGAAAAATGTGCTGCGTATAATCATAGAAGGTGGGTAAAACCTTTTTTGAGCGACACTTTTTTTTGTTGTGCTTTTAATTCTCAGTACGGAAACGAAAACCTCTTAGGTGTTGGTGGTCCTTTCTGGCAAGATCCTGAAAATGATTTAAAGTTCATTGCTCATTTGCGCACTATGTTATGCTCATACTATGCTGTCGCGATGTTAATTATTAACTCGAGTGGGATACCAGATGAACGAAAGGTTTGTTGATTTAGTTTGTCTTGAAAAATGGAATAAAATATAACTCTGCAAGAGAACTGGGAAAGTTTGTTTATTTCTTATATGTATGTTTATTGTTAAGAAGTTCATCACTGATATTCTTACATTATTGATATTCCTACAATTCTTCCAATGATTTTTGTTGTCTGAAGGGTATATAAAAATCTGCGAATTCTGAATTATAATTAAGGAAAGACTTTATGCATACGGTGACTTGGTGGTCCATCTGGATGCTGTAGAATATGATAATACCATGGAGAAGTTTGGTGATCGTTTCGATGGTTATTTACGTTTGTTGAAGCTTCCAACTATGGCATCGATGGCAACTTACTGTCCGGCCAGCAGTGATCTCATTTTTCAATTACAGAAGCGGAAATTTGATATCAGAATTTTGCACTTGCCGCCAGCTCTTGGTGATGATGATAAGAAGAAAAATTTTATCCCAAACTGTCAGCAAACTTTAAAATCTTTTTAATAATCTGATGACAAACTATTGGTAGCTTACTACATATACTAACAGTGAGTGTAGATCTATGATTTCCACTCATGTAAATGCGCAATCCACTTTGTTTTATTTCTGTTATTTTCTTTTGTCATACGTATATGTATATATATAAAGCCTTCATTTATTGACAGTAACATCAATGACACAATGCTGACTTACCATTCACGAATTTATTTTTTCTGAATTTGTTTTTTCCATATTCCAATAAACGGAATCCAGTAAAATGACAATTTTCTGAAAGAATAGGAGTCGATTTTTTCGGCGATAGATAAAATCGCGAATAGCAATTTGAAAAAAGCCCGAAAATGTTTAAATAATTTTTTTTTTCGAATTTTTGTGTTCGATGTGGTTGATAAGACAACAGCGTTTCGTGTCTGCTTGGGATCGACTCGTTGATTTGTCAGATCTAGCGTTTCTAAATCGCACGAGAAGGTTCGCTTTCTGTTATTTGATTCCTAGAACTCTCGTATGAAAATTGCCAACTTCGAGTATTTTGACATTTCTTCTATTAAAGACGATGGAATATGGAGTATTTTTTGTTAAACCTTTTAGAATTTCTTTTGTGGTCGTATATGCATGATTTCTCTATTTATTTAGATGTAAAATCTGTGACACACTGAGTGAAATGCCAAATGTACAATGTCGGGAACGTTACCAATTGCCTGTGAAATTCGATTTTCGTATCTGGTTCCCCATGCATATGTCTGTGCAGTTGAAACGCATGGTCGGCAAACTGAGAACAGTGGATCTTATCATTGAAGTAAGTAGACATTTTTGTCACTTTGAATTGCTACTTCTATTGATTATTGAAGATTTGTTGCATACAATATCGAGAAGTATTTTAGACAGTCCATGTTTTACATCATGACATAGGATCCCAATATTCTCTTTTTGAGTTTTTCTAGGTGCATGACGCTCGGGTACCAATCACTGGACGTAATCCTCAGTTTTATTCGTCTTTGTATGCCGTACGACCACATATTCTTGTAATGAATAAAATGGACCTTATCAATACGGATTTAAGGTTTGTTATGGTTATTCTTGAACGTTCATATAATTCACATTTTTTCAACTTTGTTAGAATTATTATTCCGTTACCTAATATAGCACAAATTCTTTTATTATTGACTCTGTATGAATTAAAGTATAATCTTTAAAAGAGATTCAAATCCTGACAGTAAAACCACCTCATTCATAAAAATATTATGAAGCTACAATTTAAGAAAACCAATCGAAGATTATTATCGTGATAATGGTATAACGAATTTAGTATGGACAAATTGTAAAAACCGTCTGAAGAAACCACTCACAAACTTACAAAATATGATGTTGCGATGTCTTCGTGAAGAACCACGTTTCAACCGAACTGTGAAAACGGAATACCAGGTTTATTTCTGTTATGTTTCTTCTTATTAAAAACGACCACTAAACCATCAAAAGATGTATTGATGAAGTAAGTCATTTTACGGTAATATCAGAAATTTCCTCCGACAAAAAATGATTAATTATATCCGACATCCATTCGCGCATTCATTGGAGGATATATTATATTGTATCCTTAAGAAATTTTAGTATTTATGTTCAAGTGTTGTTCAAGAAACGACATATTTCGAGTTTTCAAAATTTCTATTTCATTAAATAGTGAAATTAAATACTGAAAAAATTTCCACTTCATTAAATATTGAAATTATTCCTCCTTCTTGGTGCAAAGACTTCCTGTGTTTTAGGTTATGGTAGTAGGCATCCCTAATGTTGGCAAATCATCGCTAATCAACTCACTACGATTAACCAATCTTGGAAACAATCAGAAAGCTGTAGAGGAAGGTAAACTTTTGAAAAAAAAAGTGCTTTGTGGAATACAGATCGTTTTTTAAAATGCGTCAAGTTTTTAAAATATATTAAGAAACGTTTTTTTATGGATGATTTAAGATCCAGTGATTTAGAAAACGATTTTCACGAGAACCAAATATATTTCGTTCCAAATACGTCCCAAATATGTTTCATAGTTAAAAATCATTTGTCAGGTACTGAATGCTAATTAGTGTAATTATTCTGTCCAATTCATTCAGCAATTAGATTGCTTGCGTATCATTAACTACTCAACCATTAAAATACATAGTTTAAAGGAAAAATGAACTAGTTAAATTTTAGGTAGCAGACCAGGAGTAACAGTACGTGTCCAAAATCGTGTGCGAATTCACGATCAACCGCCAATATACATACTCGATACACCGGGAGTACTAAATCCATTGGCGCGAGATGCAGATAGTGCAATGAAATTGGCTTTGTGCAATCTTATTTTGGAAAGTGCTACGCAAATTCACTATGTTGCCGATTATCTGCTATACTGGTTAAATAAGTAAATTTAAACGTTTGTATTCTTCATATTTCATTTATGACTGAATCTGCACGGAGTACAACTTCATTTATACAAATGATAAATTGAGAAATGTCATCAATTAGTCATTTTTACAGAAAATTGCAGGACGGGTGACTATTCGTATGTTAAATTTTTCAACCTGCGCAATGGACCATCAGATGACATACAAAAAGTGTTATTGGATATATGCCAATCGAATGATATTCGCTTTAAATGCTATATTGGTGGCCAACGAGCTGAACGATGGGACATCGATGTGGCAGCCAAATTGTTTATCAATATGTTTCGGAACAACAAACTACGTAACCACTGCTTAGATACTGATTTCCTGTGGGATTATATGAATAAAAATGAATAAATGTTCTGGAACACACAATTAAAGAATCGAGGAGAATTCGGATATCTAGCAGTCATTCCTACCTCGAATAAGGAAGACACTTTCGTGATTTTTAAAAAGTTCGAGCAGCGAATGTATTTTTTTCAAGAAATAATTTTAAATAAGTGACGAGCTAACTCACTGTTGCTTACCATTTAGAGATCCCCAATTGGCCAGTAATGTTTATTCTCTCTCTTTTGTCTCTCTTATTTGGAAAAACAGTGGGAGAAAGTGCCCAACTCCCCACTGCCACTTTTAAATTGAACGTGAATTATCTTCAAAAATTTGAGGCTTTGAGAAGCTGATGTTACGCGAAATAATTTTGATTGTTTCATATTACGTACTTTATTCCTACTAATTGATTAATATAAAAGAAAGACAAATATCAATGACAATAGCTATCATTTGATACTATACGTTATATGTTCATTTCTGTATCGCACCTAAAAAATGAAAATTAACATCTGTATGATAAAAATGCAGATTTACTGATAATACAAGAATGAAAGTACTGAATATTTTCTGAAATAGTAAAACTCCCAAATTTTATAGCATTAAAATCTAACACTGAATGATATCCGCCATTAGCATCAGCAACTGATACTAAGCAGAATATCATCCAATACTTCGATAAAATCACGAAAGTACCGAATGGCAACATCAATTTCAATAAATGATTGATGTTTTGTGAATCTCTATTAGAAACAAGTCACACCGGCTTCTTTCAACATTTTCTCCAGACGTCCATCTTTCTGTGCGGCTATTGTGTCATCACAACCTCCAATACATTTGCCACCAATAAAAACACGTGGCACCGATCTAGCCCCTGTTATCTGCAGTAATGCATCCTGCAAAAATTTATATATTCACTATATTCATTCATTATATAAGCTGGGTCGATGTGCATGATCAGTTCTGTTAACTAGCAACTTTTACACAAACCATTCATACAAATATCTTCAAGGTAGATAGATTAGATAAACTACCGAAAAGCTGTTGTCAGCAATATAACATAAATACTGCATAACACTAAATCAAACGAAATATTTTCGGCAGGTCTGAGTGAAAGTGAAAAAATTCACTTGGATATTATCGCAGTCCTCTCTTTCGTCCAATTCAATAATTTTATACGAATTATCCCGTAATCGAAATGTACTTAGTGCTCGTTTCGCATTTCTGAATGATAAAAATGTGAAGAAAATATTAATAATATAAATATTTTTTGATAATATAGATGTTTCTTCTGGATACTTATTTTATAATGCTTGGAGGCCATGCAATTAGCATCCAGACGAAATATCTGTATTATGAGTCAACAAACTGTTTCGTTTATTGATTAGATGTCAGCGTTTCAACTATCTATTTTTCGCTAGATTTTTCTCGATTTGCTTAAAAAAATCTGCTTCGATATTACTCAATAGCTATAACAACATCTCATACAGACTGGATCTTCTAATCACAACTGTAATTTTGCTGTAGAAGCAATCAAAATAATATACCTGCAATATGGACAATATGTTTTGCTGAAAACAACAACCGGAGTCGAACTTGTCAAACTGGTAACAAATGTGTGTGGATCTGTGCTCTCTTTCGGTGTTCCTGATGATGTCTGAAATCGCTTACAAACTAACATGAATATCTAGACAATGAAGTTAATACTAAAATGAATAATTTAAATTCATTTTTAAAACCTAAAATATTCCCAATAAAAGAAACTAATTATGGTTCGTTAAAAGCAGTTACTTTTTCCATGATGCCTTGCTGATGATCCTGTTTCTTTACTTTTATATATTTATTTGCTTCGACTACTTTGTTGTCTAATTCTTGTTGAGCTCGTTCACGAACTACTCGTATACGATCCTTATATACTTCTTGTAGTTCAGTATCTGAAACATTTTTTAAACACTGAAACTTTTCCTATTCAAGATGTTTTTATGGGCGAAAAATTGCTGTCTTAAATGCAATAATTTGTCATGTTTCTTCAACGAAATAATTCACTGTTTTACAAAAGATAATCGTTTTATAACGATCAGATAGAAATTACAAAGGATGATTATTAAAAACGTACGATTTGAAGGAATATTGCAAAAAGGAGTCGATGAGATTAAATTTCGGGAAAATAAAAGCTAACTATGTCGCTGAGAAAACTGATACATGTTTATCTTATCTTCTATCATGGACACCATTAACAGTAGTATTAATAGGATAGAGAAGTCGCCCTTATGATTTTGTCCTTAAAAGCTTTAGCACGACAAGGATATTTTACCAAAAATTTGTTCCACTGTTTTTTATGTTTTTGATTTGAAAATTAATTTCATGAAATAAATTTGCCTGCTCATTGAAAATGAATAAGATGTATGTAACTTACCGAATTTTTTCCTGCTTTCTAACTCCTTTCTCCGTTGGATATCTTGAATAAACGGTGAGATGAACTTTTTATGTAGGAAATGGAACACTATAAGAGTTCCCAATATCAACCAGCCGTACTCCACGAAAATATCTGCAAAATGATAAGTCAAAAAGTTACATAATATTTAACAATCCGGTCAAGATTCACATTGATATACATTTGGCAACGTAACTTCTTAAATGTGACACATATAATTTCATCTAACGATCACTTCAGCTAGCGATGAAAGAAGGAATAAAATAAAAGTACTGAATTAAAATTAAATGTAAGGATTATTTATTCTTCATGATCAGATGCAAATCTAATCAATAGGATAAACAAGAATGATGGTTACTAAGGAGATGTTGAAATCTATGAAATTTCAGTTTACGCAAATAATCAAGAATTGCTCAAATCAGAATTCACTATTAAAGTAAAAATTTGTGCTTCTATACTACTGACCAGGGTTGGAATTTCAATTGCAAAAATAATCAATCATTCCGAATAAATTATGAATTGTAAAAAATTATGAAGAAATTAATTAGTAGAATATTTACATCCTGGCATTGGTTAAAAAATAAGATTCTATTTTAATTTTTCCCGTAAAACAAATTGGACAAGCAAGATGAAAAAATTTCGATATATATCATAATTAATTCACAGCACACAACTACTTTAATAACTTAGAAAAATGAAATTCTAGATCAAAGTCAAACAATTAAGTTAGATATTTCAAGCAGTTAATATAAGCGAAGGGAAAAAATTCTGGAATGAGTAGATTTTTAGTTTAAGAAAAAACAGATACACACTTATCAGCTTTCAACAATATACAACGACTTAATCTAATTATCTTTGAAATGAAACATTCGTAAATTGCAGGATTGTTTTTTGCCTTAATTTCGTTTCATTATTTTTGTATGAGTTAAATAGTTGAATAAATTTTAAAAAAATTGCAAAAAAGTCGAAAACATTTTTCGTTTTTTCCCCGTACTGATGCAAAAAATTAAGATATCATAGGCTGGTACAAAATCATCCAAGAAAAGTCGAATGAACGAATTTTTACAGAATTTCCAGGAAGTATGCATTATCTACTGATAATTGCTGGATGTTGATCTGCTTTCATTAAAATCTTACTTAAAATCGAGTTGAATGACGACATTAAAAAGTGCAGATAAGTTCTACGACAATTTCGAAATCGAAAGTTTTTTCGGGCGCCTTTTCCGTAAGTGCAATTCACTAAAAGAGAAACCGCTGTAAAGGAAAACAAAAAATTATTTCAATTCAATTTCGCTGTACTTCACACTGCTATTCCACTCCGGTCAAAAAATCAATCATACTAACTCATAAAGTTGATCAATCTCGTAATTTTAGAAATTGAAGCGCTTGATAATCCATACACACAATTCAATCTTTACTTAGCTACTAGGAGAATATCGATCCCGATATAAAACTTGTTCAACATGTTTTTGCTATGGTTCTCATAAAATTTTAAATAAAGGGGCTAAAGTTCCTTCTTGAAGAAGTTGAGCGAGCATCGGAGAGTGACAGTGTAATTTCAACCGATCATTCATTCATTCCGATCTATTTTCCGTTTGACACAAATGCACTTTTATTTCCGTATCCAATCATACTTCCTTATCGATAACCTGTTTACCTTATGGAATAAAATACAAACAATCTGCCAATTAACACGCAAAATGAACGACAATGCTTTTTTTATTTCAAAGACCGTTTTATTTCTTTTTATTCATAGTCATAACGACATTTTTTCTCCTGTGATTTTCTCCTCTAATTTGACTTAAAATACTTCATTTTAAAACAGCAATCGTAAACAACGTTCATAAATCATGAAAAAACGAAGCAAGAGTGATGAAAAAAATAAAAAAGAAAATATAGAAGAAATCGGACATAAAAGTCAATATTAAGCAAGTTTTTTAAAAAATGAACGAAATTACTTGAGCAAACCAAATTTTAAACATAACAAGTCAAAATTTGACAATATCCATTACTTTATTTTTACCATTTATTGAGTATCATGAATAAGAGAGACAGAGGATGATAATCACAAATGCTGAATAACAATAATTATCATTCCATAACCGTATGCATTACATGTTTGCTTATTCATCACACCTAAAAAACAAGATTGGCACCTGTGTGATAAGGGCACCGTTATTGATAATATCGAGATAAAAGAGCAACTGGTCATTCCCGCAATCATCCAATTTCCAAAAGAGTCTTAATCATTTCTGAATATCTTTCAGGGGCAATAGAATTAGCAAAACATAGTCAGAAACGCATTAAAATTTAATACTATCCGCCATCAACAGAATACCATCCAATTCTTCGATCAAATCACCAAAATACCGAATAATATCATCAATGCCGATAAATGCTTAGTGCTTTGTGAACTTCTACTAGAATCAAATTGCACTAATTCCTTAAACATTTTCTTCAAACGTCTATCCTTTCTATAACTATTCTATCATCATCACTTCCAATATATTTGCCGATGAAAACACGTGGCCCTGGTCTAACTCCCATTATCAGTAGCGATAAAGCTTATTAAAAACCAAGTAATAAATAATAAATAGCCAATGTTTGCACGATCATTTTTGTTATCAATAATTTTTATACAAAATATTTAGACATGCATCTTCAAAGTCAGCAATACAATATAAACACACTCTGTTAAACTAGCTATCAGATAAAGTATTTGACACATATCTGAATAACATTAGTAAAGCTCACTTGGATTTTAATGCATTCCAATTTAATGATTTTCTACGAATTATCGCGCATGTGAAACGTATTTAGTGCTTGCTTCGCGTTCCTAAAATATTCTTGTAGGAGCATGATTTTTGATAAATATGGGAATAAAATAAGAATGTTTTTATGAAAATTTAAACATAGTACGTCGGTTTTTACTTGTTTCTATATCATATATCGTAAGGCGCTATCCGAAAATATGAAACCCCTTTGTGTACAATGAAATTTATCAAAATGCCTATATTACAAATTAGTTCGCATTTCAGAATAGAAAAATGAACTTTATTCACACAATGAGCAACATAGTAGACGTATGATGCGCGAATGACTAAGAGCATGCCGCCATCCCTTTTGTAATTCCGCTTTTAAATAAAACAAATCAAGCAGCATGAGTGCCATTTAAAAAAAGTGAAACGATGCTTCTTAGTTAATGCCTAAGAACTGAATGTGGAGTAATGGTAGTGGTACAACACCACACCACATTACACACTACTTTATAAAAGTGTAAGACATGTACGCTCATTTGATTTTCGCTGATGGTGCGAAATGTTGTCTTTCGATAATTCTAAACAATTTTTTTAGAATTCTCATTGACAAGACTGACCGATATATTTGCAATAATGTCTCCACACTGCATGCGTTTATGGGCACTTGATCCACCATCATTTGAAGACGAAGCAGGATGGATAAGTGAGAAAAGTAGATCACGTTCTTTTTCAGTAAGGTAGAGAGGAATTTCAGTGAGATCATTTGGGAAAGATGTTTCACTATTTGAATAGCGTAAAATCTGAAGAAAAATCTGAAGACTTCAAGAAAAAAATTAGAGTTAATCCATCAATTTTCAAATTTGAAATTAGCCGTACAGTGTCAAATAAACACTGTACGACTAATTTCATCCTTAGCAGAAATTCTTAGCTAAGGTGCTACAAGCATTTTCACTTCCCATGAATAACTTGTCCTGTAAAAAAAACTAATAAACAATCAACATACCATGATTTCATCATTATTTTCACTAATTGCTGAGAGATCTTGCTTACGACGAGAATGCGACGCGGGGCGCCTATCGGCTGATGCCACATTTGCGCTGCCACTAGTGGCCTGTCTGTTGGTATCTCTTGATAAATCTCTGTGTGCTATTTCTTCTTTATCTGCAATAACCTTTCATTCTTCGTGTTTGTGAGTTTTTTTTTACCTCCCTCGACATCTTTTTATTTTCAGTATAACTACACATACTTAAATTTTATAATATACAAAACACATATATACATTCGAAGTTGCAAAAAAAGATGACTAACCGGCATTGGATAACAAATCATCTCCATATTTCATTCTTCGTGCTCGTGGAGTATACTGTAATCGGCAGGTTTTCTTGGTCTGAAACTTAAAATTAGAAGCGAAATATCAATAACAATCATCTCGTAGAAAATATTAATATTAATCATGAAAATATTATTATTAATCATTAATCAAAATATTGTTATTAATCAACATTTTCTGATAATGAAAGAATTACCATTACATCCCTGACATTTTCTGCACCAGCTGAAGATAGTGCAGCTGACGATAAGGGATGTGACGATCGTGCTGCACTATTGTCCAATTCATGGCTCGTGGTCGCAATATTACTATAAAAAACAAATGCAATTCTTCATGAATTTCTTTGATATTACGAAGAAGTGTAAGGGAGAAGGAAAAATAAATTACAGTATGTGGGACTAACTATGTGCTTTCATGTGGAGCAGGAGTTGATGAGTTCGATGTTTCTTCGCTGCTTGCCTCTGATTGAATACCAGGAATGGCACTGCAAAGATCAACAGGTGTTGAACTTTGACTATCTGCATTTTTAGTACATTTTGATTCAGTTCTCGATGATGGTCGACTTTGCCCCTTTGCTTGTGCATATTCCAAATCAACATCATCATCATCGCGACGAGCACGTTTATTCCTAAATTTTACAAATGGCATAAAATTGTGAAGAATAAGAATCAATTTCTTTGGAACACGAATATTTATTTGCCGGCGTAAAATGAAATATGTCGATGCTAACCACCAATTTTGTCCCAGCAACTCAACATATATTCACGATAACACAAATGAGTACACAATAAAGAATAAAGCTTAGTGACAGGAATGCTTACTTAAAGCCAGTAACATAGTTTTCATCAATCCAGTTTGGTTTACGACGCTGACGTGAAGGACGCTGTTTACGACTATCTTCAGTCTAAAAATCAAAAATTAAAATT